ATTTACTTAGATTTTAAAACAAGTAATAACCTAATTTAAGTAATTGTACTAGAGATCTGCTGTGCATTATTTTGTTTCAGGGCCCCATGTCAAAACAAAAAATTCAAACAGAGTAAGCACAGTGCCCTGAAAAGCATCAGGGCCCATGGTATATGCTGCTTCTGCCATAATGGTTTTAAAATCTGGCACTGTTTGGGACTATGACAATAAGACATATTTACTAGTTTGATGAGCGACACATTTCACACATGCATGCATTTACTTGTCGAAGTTTGCATACAAGCCCCAAAGGCCAAATGATCAGTACTTTGCAAAATTATGTTACCAACTTTCCCAATAGACAGTTGTACCTGCAGATGCATGTTCAACTATATATATAGTATAATAACTGGTATATATAGTATAATAACTGGTTATTAGCATGATTTTATTTTAAGCTATTAATTTTAAACAATAATAATTTATCGGATAATATTAGAAATATGTTGGGGGTATCTGTCAATATGTAGTTGCAAATCCTTGCATGTACTTTTGGTACATTCTTAATTGCTGGTTTAGGCATAGAATAAAGATCCATATAGAAGGGCCACTTACAGCGGAAGCTTTGAAGTTTCTGTCATCACGCGTGTCGCATTACGCATGTTGGCCACCATTTTCCTAGCCAGTCAATTTCCTTTCTGGCCAATAAACACACTGTACTGGCTGGCTGCTCCACCTTCTGGCCAGTAAACTGCATATTTTTGCATAAAAAAACAAAGACATGTTGCACCGCTGAGTGGCCTTTCTGTTACTGGTCTTTATTCTGTGGTTTAGGCATGGATTAATTAGCAAATGTCCTTGCTTCTGTGTTTCATTTGCTTACTCATTTCTTGTGAGTCATCCATAGATTCTCCATTGGGTTATTGGTTTGAGTTACTCGACTGTTTACTGGCACCTCACGGCTTGTTGCACGATTTCTGAAGTTACTCGCACATTTTTGTAATCAAATGGCATGTGACCAGCACTGATATGGAAATTCACCGATATTCCGATAACCAATATTGAATTCACCAATATTTTGCCGATACCAACACCGATATTCCATGTCATTTCACAAAATTCAACCAATACTGATATTTCTATTTTAGTACTGATATTAAGCCGATACCGATACACCGATATGGATATTGGTGCAATCACTGCAAGCATTTGTGTTGTTTGCCATCACCCAATGGCAAGAAATGCTTTTATGCTTCTTATGCAAATATCGTGCAGCAATCCAGATAAGGTGCCAGCAAAAAGTCCTAAACTCAAGCCATGGAGAACTTGTACAAGATGCCTGAGGATGGTTCAGTGGTCCACAAGATCAGGAGCCAGTATTAAGCTAAGGAAACACTCAGGCAAGGACATATTATTTACTGAAGTTGAGATTGTTGTTCGGATGGGAAAACGTCCCAGAAAAATTGTTAAGACCTTGGTTTAATCCCAACCCAAACCTACCTATGCCCAAACGAGTAATAAAGAATGTCGCAAAAGCACAGAAATTTCAAATTTGCAATTACGTATTGACAGATCGATAGACACCACAAAGGCACCACCAACATTTTTAAAATATTATCCAATACATTTTACTTAAATGAAATCATGCTAACCAGTTATAAATGCACAGTTGAACATTAAATATAAACTTATTAGCCGTTTTCACATTAGAAGACGGACAAGTCGTCTAGACGAACAAATCGTCTCAAAATCGTCTTTTAGTCGCACAAATCATCAGATGTGAAAACGTGTCGCACAAAATTTTAGACGAACAAGTCGTCTGAATTTGTTCGACTACTTGTCCGTCTGTGAAGACGATTTTTGAGAGACGATTTGTCCGTCTAGACGACTTGTTCGTCTCTAATGTGAATAGGGCTAATGCAAAAGTCTGTAATGTATAAATTTTGCGCTTGTTTATAGCGCTTTATTATATTCAGCATAAACTTTTGGCAAGTATGTAGTATTAATAGAATGTCGAATGCCTATAAAGAATCCTAACAAATTAAGCAATGATTGAAACTGCTTAACCCACTGCTTAACCAGTTCCTTGCTTTTTTGGTCTCCACATATTTGAGGCATACTAGTATTTTATTAAGGAGAAATGAATATAGAGAAATGAAAGCCAAAATATAAACGACACCACACAGTCTCCGATTCTGGAGGTCAAAACTTTGCCTATCCGACATCAGGTCGTTCCTTCAGCTTTTAAAGCAACATATGCTATAGTAAATGGTAGCACTGTTACTTACCTTGGTCCTTGGTCTTATCGCTAAAATACCTTTGCCTTTATCAGCAAAACGAAGCGCTTTTTGCGCGACGAATTAATATAAATTTGTATTTTGCAAATTTCTGTATTTGTGAGAAAATTATTCACACCTTTCACTGCAACCAATCAGATGCATTTGATTTACCCAATTAACCAATCAGATCAATCAGATGTATGTAATCTACCCGGATACACGTCACGCTCCTTTGTGTGTTGTTTCATGTTTTGATGACAAGCATGGCATGTTCTTTAAATTTTAAGAATTGTCGCGCGCTTTACCGCGCGTTTTAAAACAGGACTGGAACTGCACCGGACAAGGAATCAACTGGACTGGGAAAACATGGACTCATGCCTTTTTAGTTGTTTTGTTGTTTTTTCCTACTTTTTTTCTTTAAATCGACGTTGACGTTCAAATGATAAATTTCATAAAATTTGAAGACTCGTGCATTATTTGATCGCGAGGTTTACTACTTTATATTAAATTAGATACGCACGTAAAGCGTACAACTTGTAGCAAAACTGCCAGTGTTATCAGAATGTGTTCAGATCTGCATTGCCTGCTGTTTGTTGAAAAGTTGGCAACTTGAGTAGTAAATGGTATAGAAGAGATTTTTTTTGGGGGGGGGGGGGTGAAATAGTGTATTTATTATAGATTATATAGGGCCGTAGGTTCAATTCCTACCAGAGGACCTTGTGCTGCATTTCTCGCAGTCGTTCCTGGTCAGGTCTTAAAATGGATATATATATATACTCACTTGGATTACAAACCCTAAGAACAGCATTCAAATATTAATACCACCAAGTGAAGTGCAAGAAACCAGATCATTGAAGTCCACCTTATCACAACCCGCACACCCGATCACCTATATATACATGAACTTACGGTTACAGCTCAACAGCTGGCCTCTGTAGCTCAGTTGGTTAGAGAGCTGCACCGGAATCGCAGGGCCGTAGGTTCAATTCCTACCAGAGGACCTTGTGCTGCATTTTTCGCAGTCGTTCCTGGTCAGGTCTTAAAATGTATATATATATACTCACTTGGATTACAAACCCTAAGAACAGCATTCAAATATATGGGGGAAAGGTGCGCGAACAGGTGAAAAAGTGCAGATTTAGGAAAGTTTAGGGCTCTGCGTACGGGGTGCGCTTAAATCTTAATTTCTGCAAGATTATGAGTCGGTCGGCGTTTAATTTAGGTGTAATTTTTGCAAAATTATGGGCATGAGCGTGGTGAATGAAGGGCGTGGTCAGGGGCGTGGTGATTAATTAAGGGGGTTGGGTCGGGGAATGGAGTGTAATGTTACCCCCAAAGCCTCGTTGATCCAACTAATTAACATTTGAATTTGGCAGTATTATTATAACGTTAACGTGTGATGGGAGGAAAGGGAAATGACGTCAAAAGGGCGGGTCAAATCTGGTTGGTTCATGAGGTCATCGTTTTACCACGGTGTCTATATAAAGCGCGATTTTTGTTCAAAAATCACAAAACAAGCGTGAGGTACGAATGTAACGAAGACAAAACACACTGTGGTACGTATAGATCGTGTCGAACTTACTAGTTACTAAGTTTGAGAAAGTTTGCTTTTTATTCATAGCTTTTTTTGTTGAAGTAATCTGTCGAGGTAAAATCTGATGGATGATATAGATGAGAATATATCCAGAGTTTGCCCTGTTTCAGGAGGAAAAGAAGCTTTTTTTAATAGGACTTATAATAGACCTTATGCATAATGACGTCACAAGGCTCGATGCCCGCGAGGAATGCTGGCCTTAATAGTGATCGCCCGGGAAAATTTTAATAGTGATCATTTTGAATTGTTTAATTTTCCTGGGCGATGACCACTAAAACCAGCGGGCATCAAACCTTGTGACGTCATTATGCATAAGGTCTATTGGTGTAACAATTGGTTTAACCGTTACAGCGATAGTTTGTTCTCACGCATGAGAGAAAACGTTTGGACAAGCGTACGCTTCTAATCGGCGTGTTACCCGGCACAACGCTTGGAATAGTCGTTTGCGGTGTAATGGTTATAATTATTTGTTCTTTGCTTGGGTGTTATATAGTAAAAGGGTTTAATGCCTGTCTTACAGGATGCAATCGTTTTGTATCATCGGCAAGACCTGATAACTATAGTATCGAAAGTTTACGTACGATTATACTTACGAGTTACGTTCGTATTTGGCGCAGAAATTGGTTATATGCTTACCTATCTTTACTTAAAAAATTCATTATTAATAATTCATAAAGAAAATTTAAAAAAATGAATGTTTAATCAATGTTTGTAAATCGGTCTGACTTACACACACTTCAGCTTTGATGTTCTCGGCAACTAGTACATAAACTTGCGTGATTATATACGTCAAACAAGAGGACGTCAATTTTAACTGTTGTTTTATTTTTACTTTTTTATAGACTTGAAATTCTTTACTGTATTCTTATGTTTTCTTACTGTGTCGGGAATGGGTCCTCCGGGGCAAGCAAAAATGAACCATGGTGTCAAAAGCATGAGTGAGGATGCATGCGAAGAAGGTGAAATTTCGGTTTCAACAGTTACACAAATGGTGGTGGACAAAACTAAAACGCAAACGGTAACGGTAACACAAATAGTAACACAAACAACAACGGTGACGGCGACGATAGTCCACGATCCTAATCAGCAATGGAGTTATCTGGCAGGCAATAATTGGCACCCCCATCAGGCGACATACAAAGCAAAATTGCAGGTTTGTCGTCTATTAATACCAAAATGTGGATGCGGTGAATGGAATAGGTGGGACAACATGGGATTGTTTGCAAAGGCATGGGTGGATAGTGGAAAGGAAACAGAACGATTGGACCAGCCTGTTGTGTATAACGAAGATGGATTTTAAAGGTTTACTGTCGTTCCAATTGAAGTGTTGCTCAAATATTGATTCAATACATTACCTCGGGCTGACCAATTCATTTGATCAAGTTCCTCGAGATATTCATACACTTCCTGTGAAAGAGCCAATTCCAAGTATTTGATCATTTCTGGTCACTTCCTTTCTATTTATGATTGGTTAGTTGCACAAACAGCAAAATTTGATTGGTGCATTCAAACTATTCAACAGGAAGTTTACAATTATACTAGGAAGTGTATGAATATCTCGAGGAACTTGATGAAATGAATTGGTCAGCCCGAGGTAATGTATTGAATCAATATTTGAGCAACACTTCAATTGGAACGACAGTAAAAGAAAATAAATTAGAAAAATAGTTGATTATGAAACATTTATTGATTATATATGCGGTGTATGTGTATGTGTGTAGGAATAATGATTGTGACATTTTTTATTCATGTAATAAAAATACTTCTTATATACTTTGTTGGGATTAAATAGTATAGTCGTAATAATTTGTTTTCATTGTTATCGGTATTTTAATAAGAAGCGTTATAAAAATAGTCAGTATGATGTAAGTATACACTTTGGAAGAAATTAAGTAAGGATGTAACTAGAACCAGAAAACTCTCAATATTCAGTTTAAATAATTAATGGAAAATTATATAATCAAATAGAAAAAAGTATCCTGAAAGAATTCAGAAATAAAAAGTTTTTTTGAAAGGATGTTGTGTATTTTATCCGATAAAGAAATGAAAAAAGAGATGTACATCTCTTACTTAATTAAGAGATATACGTCTCAGATCTCGCGTGTTGGATTTGAACCAACGCCCTATGGAACTACATTCCGTTGCCCTACCGACTGCGATAAAGCGAGGAGTTGTTTTACCAAACATTTACTGAATTATTAAAATCTCTACAAATTTTATCAAAGTTTCACTAACAAATTCTCATTACTAAAATTTTTCAAAAATTGACGAAATTTTACCAAAAGTAAATATTTTACCAAATCTGGTCACACTAGCTGTACACAACACAAGTTGAAACGAAGCCATTGTGCTTGCACTGATTATATTGTGTGCAAAACTACAGTACATAATTTGTGTAAATGACATGAAATATATTAAAAATATCAAACAAAATTCTCATCAATACTATTGAAATTTAATACAACGAAATAGCATTCCACTTCGATAATTTCAATCATAGTCAAGATCATAGTTTAACAATTATTTTCAATTCACCGTTCCCACGGGTTTTTATACATTCCAAAAGCCACAATATTAAAGCTAAATTTGTTTAAATTTGTAGGAATTAACATTGTTTACTCCAATTAAATAGTCAATCAGTGATAAAACCTTGACCTTGTTATTACCGTCCCTTGCAACTACAGATAAACAGTTGCTCATAAAAAAACATTGCCTATTCGTGTGAGAATCTTATTTTTTCTTATTTTGACATAATAGCTATTTTGCAATAAATACATTGTTATTAAACTTATTGAATCAATATTTTAAGTTGCAGGCCAGTTGTACCAAAAATTATAAGCGCTTGTGCACCATAAAGGCGGATTTCCATTCAGTGCAAAATATCGCGCGATCGACATTTTAATTTGCAATCACTTTCTTTTGAAATACAAGCAGTCAAACGCAACGGATGAGGTTGACTGAACGCATTTCAAAAGAAAGTGATCGCAAAAAGTTGATATCTTTTGAAAGTTGATAAGGTTTCCGAGGCATGCAACATGTACGCACTGCGTACCTATTTTTATTATTCACATATTTTCCTGTTGACTTGGTTCCCTATTGGACTTGTAAATGTTGTAATGACTTTGTTAGCAGAATTTGAATCAGTTCCAGCGGTTATCGCTAAATTTTGTGCTCAAAATTTACTAAATCGAGAAAAATTTCACTAAATTAATTTCGCCTTCACCCCAGTTTGACAAGCGTCTGGGCGACAATACATATACACGCCGCCAGCCTAGTTCCTCGCCTTTTTGCTTCCGCCTTACGATCCAGTCATGCGAGAAGGCATGGGACTAGGCTGAGACACCACCATGTCTTAAGACCACGTGATCAATATATTGGATGTTCAATTATTAGTGTCAGGTAAATGTTTTCATAAAAAACAATAGTGCATTCAAGGCAACTAGGTTGAATAAGTTATCACGTTTGAAATTAGCAGGTTTTGCAGGCTACACATTGCACACATGAATTTTCACCACAAAATTACTGAATGTTAAAATCTCATAACTAAAATTTTTCCAAAATTGACGAAATTTTACCGGGGGTAAAATATTTTTAATCACTATTAGGGTTGCCCAGAAGGTCGGGGGCGTCTTCTGATTTCCATCGTATAGCACTAGGGTATGTTTGTATAAAATGGTACGTAAAATTTTGATATTTGAGGTCCTGGGAATGGCAAAATCCTGCATGCTGAGAGACTTGTTGACAGTTATCTCTATGAATATGGTCAATTTGCAAATTATATAGGTTACGCCACTAAACACAGTTGAAAACAGAAGTGTGGTATGCATGGGAAATGGTGTGCTTAGTTCTTGATTACACCAGGGGCGGCGCCAAAGGGGTGTGTGGAGGGGGTAGGGGTTGAACACCCCTTTCCCGACATAATTGTTTCCCCTGTCGACAAAACGTGAATTGGATAGGATGTAACCAAAATAAAATATGTGAATTCTAACCGTAGTTATCAAACGTCACGGACAAAACATGTGTGCGGTACAGTGGTGGCGGAATATATCGGGAAGGACAATGCTAGGGCATATAATATATAACCAAGCTAATGTCCAATCTTAGGCTGCAAATAAGCGATACCCGTGATTCCTTGCGCTCAATTAATGTTTAAGGTTACACTTCAAACACTCATTAATAATTCATAAGCTTATTGGCAAATCATGTCAACCATAATATGTCACGTGCATGCAGTGGCTTTAAACCTGATAAAACACTCCTAATTAGTATTCTTTATATAAAGAATACTAATAAGGCAGTATCTATTGTAGTGGTGTCCTCATTAGTATTTTTTATATAAAGAATGTAGTACTAATAAAGCAGTATATCTATTGAATTTGTAGTCGTGTTTGAAGCCGTTTAATAAACTCGCAGGTCGTGTTTTATTAGGTCTAAAGCCACTCGCGCTGCGCGCTCGTGTCTTTAAACCTAATAAAAC